TCAGTCAGCTGCCGGACCCCCTGGAGCAGCGGGTTTACTTCCAGTGCAGCAACCCACAGCCTATTTCGTGATTTCCACCCTGAGAATTTTCCTGTGACCGTGGCCTTTCTTGCTCATCTGCATTATCTGTCTAGCTCGGGAGGGGACAGGTAGAGGCCAGGAAGGGGCAGGCATTGGCTGCAGTCAGCCCCCTACCTCACCCTGCTTTCTGAGGTCTCATGTGATTGTCTTAAGGCAATTGCACACAGGATCCGGGGGTGCTGGAAGGTCAGACTAGACTGGACACCCAGGTTCTGCAGCATATCCAGATTCTTCAGGCATCATACACCGGGGAGTCAGCCCTGGGAGCCCACTCTATGGGTTGAGGGCACTGGGGGCCATGCTGGAGTCCACACGCCTATCGCCCTGTTGTTGCTCATCTTCGTCGTAGTAACTAATGGCCCCCGAGCAGGTCCCTGCTCTCCAAGACGGCCTGTGTTCCTCTTCCTGACACACTCATTTAATTTTTAACTCACAAGGCATTTGCTTATTTATTTTCATTGTTCTTGATAATAATTCTAAGCCATTAGAGGGGAAAATTATATTCAAAAATGCTGTTTCACACTTTATTTGTTTGATGATTTAGAGCGATAGAAAATAGCACATTTGCTGGCTTTTATAGTCTGATAATTATTCACATCCATCAAGCCATTTCAGGGGAATAAACAAAACACCAAGAAAATGACACTATTAATAGCATCCTCTGTGGCGGACAGGAAGAATTTCCTGGGCTGCTGTTGCCATAAAATGGAAGCAGCCTGTCTGTCCGCTGGCCAAGGTGAGCAGCCCTGCCTGCTGAGGATGTGTTTCCTTTTAACATTATCGGCCTGGCCACCAGGCAGAGGCCTCCACTGCCCACGCACCCACAAGCTGTCATTGCCTTAAGACATCACTGGCCCTGGAGCTGAATCTTTACTCCTTGCACGGAATCCACGGTGACCTGTCCAGGCGGAACCCCCTGACGTGTTGATGTCTCCCAGGAGGCCTGAATGACATCGCATTCTCTGCCTCCAGAGTTAAAATAAGAATGTTAGCCCAGCGATGTACCTTTCCTGGGGTCCAGTCTCTGGGATTAGGTGTGTCCCTAATCCCTATGTAAGAGGTCAGACTCACACAGGTATCAGGCTGGGTGTTTGATGCCGTTGTTTGTACCCTTTCCCTGCCTGCGCGAAGTGGCCTGGGCCGCCACTCTTGCCCCTCTGGGCAGGTTATGGGTTTTAGTCTTGCTTTTTTGGGTAGTTGTAATTGGGAGGATGCAGTAATTATTCTAGATACTTCAGAGTATAAAGAATAAGCCTGGGGAGGCAGAGGCCTGGGTGTGCCCATCTTCCCAGTCTACCCAGCCTGTGTCTCCCATATCAGGATGTCGCTTCTTTCTGGAATGTTGTGCTGCCTCAACTGTGAACATGAGGACTGCAGTTTCTTCCTAACTACCATGTGCCATCTCCCAGGACCATTGTCCCCCCAGAGGGCCCGGTTTCCCAGGGCTCCCATCGCTCCTGTGGATCCTGCCTGCCTTGCGCCTTATAGCTAAACTAAACAAGTTTTATTTTTCTCTCGGAAGCCTCTGATGTTTTCAGATGACTGCCTTTCTGAAAAGGGCGTCTGGCAGACGATACCTGAATTTGTCTCTCTCGGCCTTCTTCGCAATTCCACAACATTAAGCCCAGAGTTATGGAGCCTGTGTAGTCCTGCCGCAGCCTCTGTAGCATCACCTGGAGTGGTTGCCACAGATACTGTTCTGGCAGTGGAGGTTCAGAGCCGAAATTTCTATGACTTTCTGGGTTAGAGTTGTTCAGAAGTACTTTGGACTGTTTCAAAGCAGAGAGAAAGTGCGAACAGGTTTTTAAAATGAGAAGAAGATGCTAGGCAGGAATGTTTCTGGCAGAGAAGGTTCCAGAAAGATGACTCCTGGCCTAGGGCTTATCATGAGTCCCAAATCCAGGACAGCATGCCCCTTCAGAGGCGCCTACCATGACTGCCATTACCACATGCCAGCCAGTAATCCCACATGCTGCCCTTGCGGCCTCCCCAGGGTCCTCTTCAGCATCCCCACATTGCTGATTTTCCCCTCTGATGCCCCCTAGTCCCTTCTCCCTCCCATTTCTCCCAGGTTCCTGAAGGTGCTCTGCCCTGTTCCTTTATCCTGACTCTTCTGGGTTCCCTACTATGATTTGTGAGCTGACTGCAGGCCTCACGCCCTTGCTGCCAGCTTGGAGTCAAGTGGCCACTCAGAACGCACCTCAGAACGTGTGAGGAAATGCATGTTGGCTACCTCTGGCTAGAAGGGACATGGCCAGCCTCAACGTGGGGTTGGACTAGTGTGTCTAGAAAGAGACTGCCCCAGCGTAGGTTCGACCTTGTGATGGGGACAGAGCTTCCAGGGAGAGAGACAAACTGCCCCCATGTTGGTGGCCCATAAAACCAAGTCTGTTCTGCAGCCTGAGACCTTGCTCACTAATGGCCAGACAGATGCTTCCCTGCCTGGAGGTTTAGCGAACATTCTCACCCAAGTAACTGCTTTTCCTTTTTCTCTTTTTCTTCTTTTTCTCCAAGAGCCAAACCTGAGAGTCAGGGATGCCCCGATCTCATCATGACACTCCGGGTGGGGCTATGCTAAGGGCAACGTGGCCTGGGCCCTCCTGGGACCCTGGGTGGACCACTGTGAGGCTCTGCTCAGGGCACCCCACCCCCAGGCAGCTCTGTAGCCATCCCACCAGGCCTCCATCACATCAGGCTTGCTGGAGGCACCCAGAGAGCCGTGCCATGGAGAGAGGGCTCCATGGCAGCCCACTGTCCCAGGGTTTTTCAGTCGGAAGGCCAGAGGCACTCAGGCACGCTTGCATAGCGTGTGAAGCCTTTATGCAACCCCTTCTTGCTGGGATGATGGCCCACACTCCACCCTCGGCACTAAGCACCTGAATGCCAATTCTGCGGCTCAGCTCTGAAAACTTAGGTCTTTCCGCCAAGTCCCTAGGGTGAACTGGGGCAGTGTGTCAGCTGGTGTTGGAGCTTCTCTGTATCCCAGAGGCTGTCACTGGGTTATTCCAGGCAACGGGAGGCACAGCTGGCTTCCTGGACCCCCAAAGCTGGAAGTCCCCATGGCTGTCAGTGCTCCATCCCTGACTCCCTCTAATCTCTCTGGGGGCTGCTCTTCGAACACTCAGCCCGACGTCCTGCAGTCTGTACTTTCTGATAACAGAGGAGCCACGTTCCAATGTATTAAACTTTTAACATCCAGCAGATTCAATTAATCTTATCTTTACAACTCCCAATTACAGGCGGTAATTAAGTGAAGGCAGCATTGTAGACTGGGGATATTGCATTCATCATCACAGCCTTGCAGCCATAAATTAGTGCCTTCTAGTCCTGCAGCATCTTCCCAGAAGGAACAGAATGTTTCATATCCCTGTTTGGGGGGATGGTGATTCCACAAAGGTGCTTTGGATTGGGATTAACTTTTATCATTTTTATGTAACTGATAAAAGGCCATTTTCAAAAAAGCCTGGCTTCATCTCAGAGATTCTGAGAGATGAATTGAAGGGGTTGCAGCCGAGTCCTTCAGGGCTCTCTAACCTAACCTACCCTGTTAGGTTAGAGACTATACGATGTTCACCTTATCTCCTAACTCTGCCCCCTTTAAATTTTACTTAAAAAATAAACTGCTCAGTTGGAGTGGATTTTAACAGCTACAGAGTCTGGGCAATCTTTCATGTTCCATGTCCTTATCCCATCGTTCTTTCTGTACTGTGAGAGGGAGAGAGTGTCTCTAAGATGCATCCTTTACCTCTGACTTGCTCTAGAAATCTCAGGTACTGGCTGAGGTTATTCTGGAGCAGGATCCCTTCTTAGCACTGCTGACATCTGGCTTGTTCTCTGTAGGAGCCCATTCTGGTCACTGTGGGGTGTTGAGCCTCATCCCTGGCACCCCACCCCTTGATACCAGGAGCCCCTGCAGTGTTACAACCACACATGTTCCCTGACGTTGCCTGGTGTCAGGATCAGTCTGGCTAAGAAGCCCTGTCCCGCAGGTCCTCTTGGATGGAGCTCCCTGTCCTTAAATAGCTGTGTAGACAGAGCCTTTAAAATTGCCTCTCCTGCGCCTATAGACAACAGTGCTCATCAGTGCTTTGTGTGGTTGAGGACCTGCGCCCCAGGTCTGCTTGCCTGTGCTTGAAAGTTGAGGTCTTCGCCTGATGAACTGAGCTTGGAGGGTGGGGACGTTAGACTGGTGATGGAGTGTCGATTGGCTGGGGGGTTGGCTTGGTGCTTCTTGGCACCCTCCCTTCCCCATACTGTCCCTCCAGGCTCAGCTCCATGCCAGGAAGGAGGCCCAGGTATCCCAGGCACCAGCTTCTACTCACAGCATTAGCAAGATGTCACTCTCCATTCATGTTTTTGCAAACTTTCACCTTACGTCTTTCTTGTTTATGAGGGAGCCTCAGTAATCTTTCAGATGAAAAGCGTGTAAAAATAAAACGTATGAAGTGGGTGACAAATGAAATCTTTCTCCTTCCTGAAGCTTCTCTCCCCACGGACTCCTGGGGTGGGATGCAGAGCTGGTGGGAGAACGGCCGGCAACTAGTGGGCTGGGGGCGCCCTCCCCTGCAGTCCAACCCACTGCTTTCTAGTTGATGTTTTGCTTTTTAAGCCTCATCGGGATTTAGTGCTGCTTAACTGGGAATGCCGCCACTCCTGGCATTTTCCATGAATGCTGTCACATCCCGCAGAGCCCTGGTCCTCAGCCCTCCTGCCTCCCCCTCACCCATCACTGCCTGGGATTCCTTCCCACAGCCCCTCCTGCTGCCTGCCAGCCTCACAGCTTGACCACCGCTGGATTTCACTTCAGCTTTGTGCACCAGCTGGTATATCCCCTGAGGCCACAGCCAGATCCCTGGGGACTCTCAGATGTGCGTGGACCACACAATCTCATCTCTCTAATGGGCTCCTTTGTCTTGTAGGTACGCCATCCCGCCAGAGCACGGCAAGCGCCTGGAGCGCCTGGCAATCGGTAGGTGTTGCGCCTGTGGGATGGGGACCTGGGTCCTGGTGGAGAGGCAGCTGTCACTCTCCCAGATATCGTTCTGTGTTTGGGTATCAATTTTAGGTAGAAGTCATGTGCTGCTAGACCCCTGTGGTCAGATCCAGGGTCCCCCCGCTGCAGGCTTGCCACTTCATGAATTATACGCAGGATGCCGATGCTGTATCTTCCAACATTCTTGTTTTCCACTTCATAGCCTGGAATTCCTAGATGTAATCGCAGGCTCCTGCATGCCAGCGAGTGCAGCTCGGCTTCTCTTATCTCCCTCCCAGTGCCTAGCGAAGTGTGGTGCCTCTGAAAGCCTGTGTTCAGTCTAGAAAATGAGAAGCTCAGCTTGACATGCCGTCCTGGTGCTGGCGAGCTGCAGAGTAGCCACAGGCCTTTTGTCTTGTGTGCTGGGGCCTCTGTGCCTGGATTCCCTCTGGAAACATCATGTGTCGATGCTGGAAGGAGGCACTGTGCTCCCACCTTGGTCTAGACCCCCTTGGGGGCTGCTTGGAGTTAAAGGGATTTTTTTTTCAGAGGGTCACAGGCTATGACCAGAGAAGGGGGCACTTGGTAAAAACAGACCCTAGGATCCTTAGAGACAAGTCAGAATCCCTTACCACCCTGATGAAGGTGCTGGGGCGGCTGGGCCCTGTGGCACTCCTCCACCACGGTACAAGGAGCTCATGCTCCCTGATGTCAGTGGAAGTGCCTGGAGAACCATGTTCCAAGAATACTGGCCAAAAGGGTCTGGCCGTCATTCTGCCTGCTGGAGAACCAGCCCTTCACGTAGACAGCATCCAGCAGGGCATAAAGGCCTGTTGTTTGGGCCTTTCAGATCACCCCAACTCTCTAAACAGTAGCAAGAGGCAGCCCAAAAGCCATTTCTCAGTGTTTGGCGCAGCCTCCCTGACTGCTGTCCTCAAGCTTCACCCAGAGACCCCCCACCACACGCTGTCCTCTTTCTTGTTAACTTTTTGACTTTGGAGATGGGAAGGATTGATCTCTCTGGGAGAACATGGGTCTCCTGCCCTAACGTACTCGGAGCTGTGAGTCAGCTCAGCAAATGTCTGCTAAAGTGAGCGACATGGAGTCCTCAAGGATGGAGGGTTGTTGGGCTGAGCGGGGCAGGAACCACCCAGGTGGAGGGTATTGTGAGGCTAACACGTCTGTTAGAAACCCGGACTCTGTCCTTTTGAGACAGGCTGAACCCTGTTCTCAGGAACACGCTTCTCATGGTAGACATTCCAGGCACTGACGCTCCCTAGTCAAGATCTGTTTCTCTTACTTATTAAACTCTAAATTACAAACTTAATAAACACTTTCCCCATTGTATTTTTTTAAATACAAATTTTAATTTAGAAATATAAGTTTAAAAAATCTTTCCCTGTTACGATAGTTTCCTGTTGCTGTTACCATAAACTAATTACCACAAACTCGGTGGCTTAAAACAACACAGCTTCCCTCAGTTTTGCTGTGAATCTTAAACTGCTCTTTAAAAAAAAAAAGTCCTAATTAAAACACACATATGCACATGCACATTTATTTTCTTACAGTTCTAGATGCCAGAAGCCTAAAAGAAACCTTTAAATGGTTTAAATCAGGGCCTGGGAAGGGCTAGTTCCTTTCAGAATCTTCAGAGGAGAATTTGTTTCTTGCCTTTGCCCACTGCTAGAGGTGATGCAGCCCTTGGCTTCTGGCCATCTCACTCTAATCTCTGTCTCTGTGGTCACACAGCCTTGCTCCCCTCTGTGTGCGTCAAATTGCCCTCTTATAAGGATGCCTGTGATGACACTGGGCCACTAGAGAATGCAGATCATCTCCCTTATCAGGGTTCTCAACTTCCTCCCATCTGCAAGTTCCACTTGCCGTGGAAGGTACTGGATTCATACATTCAGGGGACTGAAAGAGGTATCTTGGGAGTGCCACAATCAGCCCCCCACAGCCACAAAGCCATGGAAGAAACCCTTGCGGAGCCGGCAGTGTGGACATCACCAGCATTGCCCAGCACTTGCCCACGTCTCTACTTCCATGTTCAGTGGAACTTTACACTTAGCCACACTCAGTCTGTCCTCACTCTGTGGGCCTGTAGAAGAGAACAGTTTTGGATGCCCTGAGCACCAGCTGCAGAAGCTGCCGGAACCTCAGGGCCCACCCAGCGACCCAGGTGGAACTTGGCCTGTTTCTCCTCTTACCATCCCCGTGTAAGGGGATGCCGGTCCCCTTCTGACACCTGGGGGTGGCTGGTTCGCTTTGGGAGTATGGCCGGGGCTTGGAGGCCAGAGCTGAGAGGGAAGAATGAGCCTTCTGGTTGCCCTGTCATTGCTTACTGAAATATATGGACTCATTAAGTCACTCCTCAGCAGGGTGGAGCAGCTACTGGAATTCGGGAAACCCTCAGTTGTCAGAACTCTGGAGGGTCATGAAGCAGAGGCATTGGTAGGGAGGTAGCCCCTGTTCAGACAACTCTTACCTCCCTGGAGGTTTGAGGGCAAGTACCCTCTTCAGTGTCCCTTCCCAACTTTCGGGGAGGGGGGGATGTGTCCTGGACTGTGTTACTGAGATGGGTGGGATGAGTTTGCTATTAATACGGAGAATGAATAGCTGCTCTCCAAATGGGCTCGCTGGGAGAGTTGTGGAGCCCATGGAGAGAGCATTAATGTGTTGGCGCGTTATTGGTGCTAATCACTTAAAATGTGTGCCTTTATTAGAGCTTTAATGAGAGCCACTTAAACTGTGCATTAAAAAGAGGAACTGCAGAGAGGCCGGCGGCCGGGCGGCAGGCAGTCATAACTCTAATTGAAATGCTTTTAGTACAGAGGAAAGTTGTGGGATTCAGTAATCCTTCGTACTTTCTAGAATCTCACCATGATGTCCTTGTAGCCAGGCGCCTTATGCCAGCACAGAAGGTGCATGCACATGCATGGGGTCGGACGCACGCACACACACACGTGAGTGTGTCCTCTGTAATCAGTGGTCTATCGAGGGTGTGCACTAGCCCGAAGGCTGAGGCCTGTGGTCGGAGTTGGCTTCTGGAAGGGATCCTCTGGCCATCTGTTCTTGGGGGTCAGCCCTGGAGGAAGGTGGACACTGATCACCTTAGGTGAATGTACATAGCAGCCCTTTTTACTGCTTCTGGGTGGCAGTTTTGGGGTGATTAGCCCCCGCTGCCTCAGGTGGATTTGCTTCAGATGTGCGTGTCATAGTTTCAGCAAACAAGTGATCTGGAAACCTCCCTGAACTCTGTTAAATACTTGTAATCAGGTGGAGGTGATGGTTGGAATTCTGCAGGTTTATGAACACTGTTTTAAGTCTGTTAAGTTGTGCACTCGGACAGAAGGCGTTTCCAAATGTCAATTCTGCACCCCCCCCCCCACTTGAGTGGCCAATGAGCAGGACAGAAGTTAGGGCCAGAAGCTGTGCTGCAGGTCAGGGTCTGCTTCTCTGCCACTTCCCTGCTGGACTACCTGCGGAGCCTTCATTTCCTCACCGCCTGGTGTCTGTGGGGTCTTGTGGCCCAAGAGCCAGGCTGGGACTGAGACTGAGAGGCCTCCCTCTCCTTACAGACTCCTGTGTGACCTTCAGAGAGTGAGCATGTGTGTGCGGGAGGAGGGATCAGTCACTCCCCACTGTTCATGACTTGTCTGCTGCGGAGTGTTGTTAGCTCTGTGCCCTGTCCCCTGGGCTGGGCCCCTGCACTGGCCCAGTGACCTTGCAGGTACAGTGTGGTGGGTTTTGTTTGGGGGGAGTTTAAAGGAGACGTCTTTGTGCAGCCTCATCCCCACCCTGTCTGTGACCTCAAATGTGTCAAGGGCATGTGCTTGGGACACAGGTAGCCCTGGTTGGTCCTTGACAGGTGAGGAGGTTGCCCCTCTGCTCTGGGTTCAATAAATAAAGGGTCAGAAGGTGTCACCATCCCTGCCGCCAGCAGAGCACGTGGGGTAGTGTGACGGGGTCCTGTGTGTTTCCTTCCCTCGGAGTCCACAGGAGGAAAGACCTGCTGCAGGAGCGGTGTCTCGCCAGCCCAGCCTGGCCCATCAGACTGATGCTCTCTTTTCTGCTCTAGGGTTCTTCCCTGGAAGCTCCCAGGGCTGTGATGCCTTCCTGCGGCACAAGATGACGCTCATCTCCCCCATCATCCTCAAGAAGTATGGCATCCCGTTTAGCCGGGTACGTAGGGCAGGGTGTGGACCACCTGCTTATGGGGACTGGGGGTTTGCTGGGTCCCAGGACCTTGGGGACACAAACACACCAGGAAACTGACATCTTCAGCCTGGAGAAGATTCTAGAACAGTAGCAAGTCAGGGGATGGCCATGTTGGCTCTTTTTGGGGGGGTGGGGGAAAGGATGGAAGAGGAGGTTTTCTCTTGAATCAGGTGGGTGTGGACTTTCCTCCTCACAAACCTAACCCCAGACCCTGCCTGGTGTGGACTGTGGAGTCAGGTTGGAGAGCGGAGGAGGGGTAGCCCCTGTGGGCGTCCCAGGAAGCCACTGCTCTTGAGCTCTGGCTCTGCCCCAGACCGGGGCACACTTCCTTTGAGAGAACGAATGCCTGTTTAGAAATGAAATATCTGGCGCTCGCAGTGTGAAGACTGTGAATTCATTCAATTTACTGCTCCAGGGGCTGCTCCACTTGTCCTTATGAAGGGCTGTGATGAATGAGGCCTGAAGCTGGGGAATCTGGTTGGCAGGGAACTCTTCACCCTGTGGAGGGTGGGTAGGTGCCAAGCTCTGGGGTCTCAACCACTGACAGGACATGCTAGTGGCCAGATTGGTGAGCAGCTTGGTTTTGAAGCCCCCAGGGGCGCTCATGGGTGGGCCTGAGCATGTTGGTCCAGGCGAGAGGCACGTGCCCTGGTCCTTTATGGCAGGCCTGAGCAGAATCTGGGTTGGGCACCAAGGTAGCCTGGAAGAGGAGGCCTTCTGGAGTCTGGTTTCCAAAGCTTTCCCCGGAAGAGCAATTTGTCAGCTACAAGAGCAAGTTGTACGTTCAGACCCTCACACCTCCCTCTCACCAAGAGTGTCAGCAAGTCGGAAATTGCTTCTGACATTTCAATCAAACCGCCCCAGCATTAGCATGTGGATCGGGGATTCGTTCTTTCTGTCACAGCCTCAACCAGGAGGCCGACTCCCAGCTGTCTCCTAAGTTCATCAGGTAGCGGGATATTTTGCTCTGAGAAATGCAGCTTTCTGCACTTTCCTCTTCTCTCTGTCTTCTGGTTTGAACATCATTTGCGGCGAGGAGCCTTGCAGACAGATCTTGGCATTGCTTACAGAAGTGAGAGGTACTTGCTTTCTCATGACTTGTTGAGAACATTCTGAAAGGGATGTCAGTGAGTGGGCACCCTCTTCTCTCCCTCAGCAGTGTTGATGTGGCACTGCACTTTGTATACAAAATACCAGCGAGCAATTGAAGGGCTGCTAGTGCTCCGAGGGCAGCTGTGCCTGACAGTGGGTGGCTCAGATGGGACAACCACCCCCTCACACCTGCCGGGTCTCCCGGTTGCCCACTCGGCAGGCAGTGTTTTCTCTGTGGTCTGTGAGCCAAGGCCCTGGCCCAGCCTGCACAGAGCTACTCCCAGTGCCTCTAGCCTCAGTATGGTTTCCCGGGCCTGGCAGCATCTGGTTTCCGATGAATGTCCCTTTCAGGGTTTGACGTGGATCCCCTCATCTGAATTCCTGGCAGTCTTCAAAGGAATGACTCCCTACGCTCCACTTATAAATCTTTGTAATGGTATTTACTTCTACAAGAAAAAGCAGATCAATAGCAGAGCTTTTTAATAATTAAAAGTGTGTATTTCTGTAATCTGCTATTGACTTCTTCATTTATTCTACAAGAGCTTGCAGAAGAAACCGAATTCTAGCTTCTCCGTGACTGGCGTTTGGGGCTGGCGTTCCCTTCACTACTTATTACTTTCTGCACAGCCTATCCATCATCCCAAGCGCCTTCTAATTTATTGTCAGGATAATGTTGACAGCAGTGACATGGAGGATAGAGACTGTAGGCTCAAAATGAAGCCACCAGGATGTAGATTTTCTGACAGGAACATAATCTTCTTGTCGTGGTAACTGAGTACATCTTCTGTTCTAGGCCTTGATTTATGGACGAGGTCAGGGGGATGGGCTGGGGGGGGAGCTAGGCACCTCCTTCACTGCCCAGGTTTCAGACTCATGTACCGGGGATTCCGCTTCACCCTGGAAGGCTCCAAGCTCAGGCCATTAGTGGTGCTGCAGCCCTGCATGTACAGAGTCTGTACTATACCAGAGCCTGTACGCTATGGAGAGAAGGGAGGGTGAAGTTGGTCACCTCAAACAGAGGAAATAAGTGATTGTGTTTTAAAAATCACCAAACCTTAATTTTATTTGCCACTGGTTCAAAAAGCTCCGAGCTAAAGTGGCCCAGAGAGTCCTTGCTTTGGATGGTGATTGCCAGGGCCTTGGGGACAATCAAGTATTCCCTCCCTGCCCCCCTTGCCTGCCAACCACTCATTCCCTGCATGTGGCTGTCACTTGGACGGGAATTTAAAAATATAACTTAATGCATACTGACTTCCCTTGATTGGTGCAATTCATTATTCGAAAAGAAAAATATATTGGTGTTCTTCAGGGCTGGCTTTTCTCCAGGGTATGTCGGTTTTGATTGATTTTTGACTACATGGTTGGGTTGGATTCTCACTCCACTCCCTCCCCAACCAGGAATCACGTTGATTATTTAGATAAATTAAGTGATTTCTACTCATCTCTCTGGAGAATAAGTAAAGATTAGCAAGCCCAAGAACTCCTACAAATTAATAATAAAACAACCAGATACAGAGGGGCAAAAGATCCATACCGACGTTTTGCAAAGGAAGATGTGCTATTGAACCAGTACAACACGGTGTTCAGATCTGTAGACCTCCCAGGAAGACAGCCCAGACCGAGGGGTACCCCTTTGCGTACCCACAGGGACAGCTGCAATCCAGATACCCACAGACTGGAGGGGAGGGGAAGCGGCGCTCTTACCGCCAACATGGGTGACATGGGGAGCCGTTTCAGAAAATTGCTCAGCGGGGTCTCGGAAACGTAGATATGCAGCCACCCGGAGAACCTGCAGTGCCCCTGCATCTGTGTACTCAGAAGCGCACAACTGTCTGCAAGAAGACCTGTCCACACAGGGCCCTGAAGCTTGGTCATTGGAGCCGAAATCAGAAACAGCCCTTAACAACAAAACAGATAAGCGAATGTATCAGAGATACAGTCTAAGAAATGGCGTCATTTGGTGAGCTCATTGTGTGAAGTCATCGAGTATAGTCACATAAACTTGGATAGGATATCTACTCTGTACCTAAGCTAGACAGTAGTGACTTTTGGGACCCTCATCTTTTAAATGGTCTAAAGTATCATTAAGTGACGTGTGACTATATTGACACATTGCATGACAGAATACTTTTAGAAATGAAAAGGAATGAATGACCAGTATACCTGGGATTGAATCAATCTGGAAAGCAGCAGAACAAAAGGCCAGGAGTCTGGGCCAAACAATTTCCTACATCCGAAATTCTGGAAAGAAACATGATCTGTTGTTACAGAGAGCACATCGAGGGGTGAATTGCCAGTGTCAGGGGGCTACCCAAGCAGCTGGAAACAGTCTTTTCTCATCTAGGGTGGTAGTTACTCAAAACTCAGACGGCCTGTGACCTTGTGCTGCCACTGGATGTTGACTCACGATGGAGGGCCTGCCTGGCTAGGGAAGAATCATTCCCATGTTTCCATCCTGTTTGCACATCTGTGGATTGGGCCAGCAACCCACCTCATGGGTCCTGGAACATTGAGTGGGAATAGTGACCACTGCTGTTGGTCATCCATCTTTCAGAACAGTAATCTTTTAGAGTGCTTTGGTGATGGGTTTAGAGGTTGACTGGTGTGGGGAGGTGATCTGTGTGGTCCTCAGAAGCATTCCCTCCATGGAGGGCATGGGTGCCCAAGTGATGAGACTGCAGCCCCTTTTTCATATAGGCCTCTGGGTGGCCATTCTAGAAGCCTCAGTTCTGGGGTCATTGTGAACCCCCACCCTGGTTACTCATGTTTTGGGGTCTATTTATTTATTTATTTTTAAAAGATTTATTTATTTATGCATACAAGAGCTGGGGCACAGGCCAGAGATGCGGGGGTGAGAGGATTCACCAGAGACAGAGTGGGGAACAGAACAGGCAGACTGACCGAAGCAGAGGGGAGGGGAGCAGCGGAGGGGAGCAGCGGGCAAGACAGGAGAGGTCTGCCTCGCCATGTGGGTTTCTCCCTGGCCGGTTGGGGACCGAACCCGCACTGCAGAGGCTGCGGATTGCCCCATAGTGTGGTGCCCAACCCCCTGCGCCACCGCGGAGGCCCAGGGTCTCTTATTTTAAAGGCTGAATCAGAGTCTGGTTCTCCAGATCATTCTGGGTCTAGAATCATCAGATCATTCCAGAGTTCTGATCTTGACACTGCCCTTCCGGCATGCTGAGGTACTTCTTTAATCTCTGACTTCATTTAGAAGGACCTACCTTGGGATACAGTGGGCAGATTCTGTGCTTATGATGGTGAGTGACTCAGGTCGTCTTCTGGGGACCTGGTCATGCAACTGGTCCTTCTTTTTTAGGCAAGGGCAAGGCTCTGATGGCATGTATTCTCCCATCCTGTTCTTGGAGGCCCTCTCAGCCACTAGTAGCACCAGCCCACCATGTCATACCTCTCACAGTGGACAGGAAGTGCTGCCCAGCCACCTGTCTCCAAAGCAGGAGACCCTCCCCCCCACTCCCCCACCACAAATGAGAAGTGCCTAGAATCATGGCATTCAGATAAATTGCCTCTGTGTCTGCAACTCACTTGCCTGGAGAGTGCTAATGGTGTCTGTCACCTTGGGGGCCCAGCAAGGCTGTGTGAGTGGCAGGCCTGGTAGCAGAGCCTTAGGCTGCTTTACACACCACAGTTACAAGGACTGGAAGTTAACTGGAGCCTAAGAAGTTAGGCAGAACTACCTCTCACTTAGTGGGACTCTGATGACTCCTATAGTGGGGCTTCTTGCCATTTGGGGGAAAGTCATGGAGCCCACATCCTCTTGCCATGCTGGCTAGTGGCTCCTGGTCACCTTCAGTACCTGCCTATCCCTATCCGGCTCAGGTGTTACTTCTTGCAGGCGAGCTGTGTGCTGACTCTGGGCCTCATTCCTCACCTGTCGTCCCTTCCCTCCTCAGATCACGCAGGAAGCCGGGGAGTTCATGATCACATTTCCCTATGGCTACCACGCAGGATTTAATCACGGATTCAATTGTGCCGAGTCTACCAACTTTGCCACCCTGCGGTGGATTGATTATGGCAAGGTGGCGACTCAGGTAAGTGCCCACAGACTCTGTGAAAAGGTGTATAAAGGGGCTGACTCCCCCAGCTGCTTCCTGGGTCTGGGACCTGTGTGGTGAGCCTTCGTACTCAGTCAGGGACACAAACGAGGGTTTATTTCTCCTCTCCGTCTCTCAAGTTGGAGCTGTCGGTTTCTTCTGAGGAATTGCTTGGCCTGGTCTGTTAGGGCCCAGGATTGGGGCACATGTGGGTCTCTCACTAGTATAGAAATGAGGAGCAGTGTGAGAGGAAAGCACCTAGAATCCAGACTTTGACTCACTCAGCATTGTGTGGACTCCAGGCCTATGCAAAAAAGAATCCAAGAAGCTCAGTAGGTGTCACTGGCTGCATGCAGGTGTCACGGCCTTGACATGTGGCCTAGTTGTCTGGAGATGTGCTGTGGCTATGAACCACATCCGGATCCGAGGTTTAGGATATGACACAAGAACATGAAATACCTCTCAAAAAATGTGTGTATGTTGATGACATAGACTGGTGTTTTTTAGCTAAATGTGGTATTCAAGTGAATGTCACTTTTTTTTTTAATAATAAAGCCTACGTTTTATTTATTTATTTATTTTAAGGATTTATTTTATTTATGTAAGAGCTGGGGTACAGGCCAGAGGCTCAGGAGGGTTAGAGGATTCACCAGAGACAGAGCAGGGAGCAGAACAGGCAGACAACCAAAAACACTGCTGAGGGGGAGCAGCAGGTGAGACAGGAGAGGTCTGCTGCACCATGTGGGAATCTCCCTGGAAGGCCGGGAATCAAACCTGTGCTGTAGAGGCTGCAGACAGCTTCACATCGCTGTGCTCAACCCACTGTGCCACCGGGGAGGCCCGAATGTCACCTTTTTATATATTTTTTTCTTTTTTGAATGTGGCAACTAGAAAAATTATTTACACATAATAATAACTATTAAAAATTATTTAATAATTTGTGTTATTGTTTATTGGGCAGTGCCAGTCTAGACAAATTGGCTGATGTTCATTTTTCTCATTATCTGTTTCTCCAGCTTCACTGTTCCAGCATAGTTTAGAAAAGGAAATGGGCTCTTTGTTGCTGGAGAGATTGGAGAGGTGCTCCCAGAATTTTAAAGCATTGGGCTTTTTAGACCCAATTCAGAAAATCATGGGATTGTATTTGGCAAAGAAGCTGAGCCTTGCTGCAAAAAGAGATGGAAATATCAGAACTTTTCCTATTGATCCCAAAGAGTAATTAACTATCCTGGAACTTGTGGTTTTCTTTGGCTGTGTTACTTGCAGGGAGATCTGTGGCAGGTTTGACTCAAGCAGAGAGCATTCTGGGGCCTGAGCGCCCCACTGCATCCTCGCCGCAATTGAGTTGTAAACCCCTGGCTGCAGGCACATTCTGGAGGTGCTGTCAGAGCCGAGGCCGGCAGGGACTGCCCAGATATTAAAGGCAATTTTGGGTTCAGCCATGTGTTCACAAACAAGTGACATTTGGGAAGTGCAGTCTTAGATTGGGCCTCCACGCTGACATTGCCGGGCGGCGTAGCGTGAAATTACTGAACAAGTGGTGCACAGCGCTCTGAGCCAGCCGGGGTTCAAGGCAGGTGTCCAGGCTCTATGAGGGGCTCCCTTGAAGAGTTGCCTAGGTCTCTGTGGTCCAGCCAGGGCGTGGACCTTGACCATGGGGCATCCGTCCGTGGAGGTCCTAGTGTATTGGCTCTGAGGATTTTTGGTGGTGCCACGGGACAGCAGTTCCTGACTGCTGTAAGCTCTACTGTCCCGATACGTAGTCCAGGCTGGCGAGGCCATTCAGGCTTCTAGGCCTCTATGTGACAGAGACTGGCTCCTAGAGTGGCAGAGAGCTTGTTCTGGCCAGAGGGTTCTCAGGGACCATCCAGGCCTTCAGCTTTATGTTAGGGTGGGGAGTCGCCCAGGACTGCTTTTTCTGCTAAGCAAGGACTTCTCCTTGCCAACCTGAGCTGCCCACTCCCTCTGTGCTAGGGACCGGTTCCTTCCAGTACATTCATCAGAAGATAACCCAGGGGAAGAGTTTCCACTTCCTGGATTTTAGAGATTTTTTTTACTTGATGGTTCATTACCTTCTTCAGGCTCCCAGGAAGTCCTGCCATCATCCCTTTTCTGTCATTCCACCTCTGTGCTAACATGTTAAAAGCCAAACTCTCACACTTGACTGGCCTCTGTGAATTTCAAGTATTCATGTTCTTTCTCCTTGTAAAACAGGGGTTGGCAAACTAGGGCCTGAGGGCCAAACCCAGCAGCTATTTTTGTACAGTCTGCAAACTGAGAATGAGTTTTACATTTCTAAAGAGTTGGGGGGAGAGTTAAGAAAATGTATGTGGAGAATGTATGTGGCATTTAGGCGACTCTAATTTTACATCGATAAGGCCTCATTGCCACGCAGCCTTGACCCTTCATTGGTGCACCCTGCCGCTGCTTCACCTTCAACAGCAGAATTAAGTAGTGACATCAGGCGGTCTGACCTGGGCACTGTGGGGTGTCGAGCCTCATCTCTAGCCCCACCTTCTTGATGCCCCTCAGTCATGACAACCAGAATCTGATGTACCCAGAAATTGCCTGGTGTCCCCAGGGATGGTGTCAGCCCATTTGAGAACCCTCGATGTAGCCAGATTTTCACATTGAACCTTTCTCCTTCGGGGGCAGAGGGTGGCTAGTGCAGCTCTAATTTTTGGATTCTCTGTTAAGCTCAGTTCATTCTCTTTTCAGTTTTCCATGCTGGGCCCATCCCTAGGACACTGAGCTGGGACTGCTGACCGGGGAGCTCGCAGTCGTGTGTCCTTTAATGACGTTTGGGTCAGGAATGGACCACAAAGGGATGCTGGTCCCTCAGCACTCCCCTGTAGCTATGCTGTCTAAGTTTGTGTGATGGCACTTTGTGACCTTCTCCGAACATTTCCCCATTGTTCATCGACACAGGACTGTATTTCTCACCCAGATTAGTTCTCATTGGTTGAGAAAGATAATCCAGTATAAAAAATGGTCCAAAGTCATGCTCAGGTAGTTCACGGCAGGTCAGTGCACAGGGCTGTGTGGACTTCTACAGGACACCGGGCTTGCCAAGCTACCTCGCTTCCACAGGGTGCTTGGCACAAACTCCATAGGAGGAAACGGTAACATGTCTTTTCCCAGTGATTGGGAAGGGTGTCTTGGTACTAGTTTGCCTTGGGGGCTAAGGGCTGGGCCCAGACCCTTTGGTGGGTGGGTACGACCTCAGGGCTGCCTTTCTGATGCAACTCTTCTCTCTCTCAATGTGGGGTTCATCTCCCAGGATTGTCAGTGTGTGAATTCCAATAATAACACATGTGTATCTGTGACCAGGGCACTGGTCTAAGGAATATTATTCAACAAGAAAATGGATTTGCTGTATTTATTGCGTGGAAAAGTGGACCCTGTACTTTGAATAATTAGGCTCTGGGCTGTGAGCTTGCAATCCCATTTAGTGGTTAGGAAGGAAGATGTGCCCACTGTTAGCTTCATTTGGTGGAATTTGTGTTGCCTTAAAAACAAACGTTAACTTCTTGAACCATTCTGTCTTTTTTGTACAACTTTTTTTCTTAAAACCAAGGTAGACTTTGGGAGTAGGGAGGAGTGATATTGGCCCTTCCTGGGCCAAGATAGCCTCTGTAGCCACTGCAACCTGTCCAGGGGAAAGGTTTTTGTTGTCATTGTCCTTAGCGGTGGTTTGTTGGGTTGTTTTCACAAATGAGAATTGAGTGGCAAACGAGCCAATGTCATGAGCACCCCTGGCCAGCCCACATTGCTCTTCCAGCCCAGTCTTTTTTTCCCCTGTGGAGAAAGGCAGGGCTGGGTCTGGAGAGGGAGAGTATGGAACGTCCCAGGCCAAGCCAGCCCACTGAGCATCTTCTGTGTTCCTAGGAGGGGGCCCCAGAATGGGTTCATCTGGTAGGGGAGAGGGGAGAGGGTGGAATTGAGGGACCGCTAGCCACACTCATGGCCACATGCACCCAAGTTCAGTAGTAGCTCGTTCTCCCTCTCTCCCTCTCCTCATCACCCTGCTCTCCCCCTCTCCCCGACTTTACAGACTACACTGCCCTCCATCACACTCTGACTCTAGCCTCGTGACCTTGAGAGGACCAGAGGGAGGTAAAGTGATTTATTTTGCCAAGGTCATAGGAACGGGAAATGCCTTGACCATCCTCTGTCTCCCTCACCCTACTTGGAGATGTGTGCTGTTGGGGGTTCCAGGAGACACCCTTCCTGCCTGTGAGAGTATCCTTAAGCCAGAAGCCTCATCCAAGGGTATCCAGTGCTGGGCTTCTCCGGAGGCTGCTGCTCAATTTTGGAGAAGAGAATTCCCTGGGGTACATGCCCAGATGGGCAGACTTTGCAGTGGGATTATCAACAGGGGAGATCAAAGGAATGCTTCAGTGTCACTAGGGGAAAATAAAATGTGCATGCACAGCCTTTTTAGGTCTGAACTCGAATTAGTCCTACAAGGCTGCACGCCACGTTGGATTAGCTGAGCATAGCCCTGGTTGTTCTCTCAGTGGGTGGTTCTGGGTGAAGCCTGACAAGGGCCTCTTCCCTCCCTTGAGGGTGTCCTGGCATCCTGGCTGCCCCGTTAGACGAAGGAGGTGACTATGTAGGAAGCAGAGCAAGAGAGATTTAAGGCCAGGTTGGCATGGCCAGGAGCCGGGTGTGCTGTCGGTTTTCTGCCAGCTGTCTGGTGCCGCCTGCTGAGCACGCAGTCTCCCCAGGGAAGTCTCAGCTCCCTGGAGAGGCATTGGAGTGGGGAGGCTTCTGCTGAGTATGGCAGCCACGAAAAGGACCCCCAGATGCATCACTTCTCAGGGTAGCACCCTGTGGTCCATCACGCCCACATCCAGGGTTGGGGGACTTTTTTTTTAAAAGAAGCATGTTCTTTTTTTTTTTTTTTTTAAAGATTTATTTTTATTTATATAAGAACTGGGGTACAGGCCACAGGAGTGGGAGGGTGAGAGGATTCACTAGAGACAGAGTGGGGA